GAACTGCCATGCAACCACACTCTCAACAACCTTCGCCGTGAAGCGAAGGTTGGAGACCGGGCGATAATTGGCCAACTCATCTGGGTCCAGGGAAGGCTTCTTGAGGAGGGGCCTCACCACGGCTTCCTTTAGGGTTGCCGGGAAGACACCCTCCTGCAAAGAGGCGTTAACAATTCCCTGGAACCAGGCTCGTGTCCCCCCCTGGCTGCCAGTACCAGCCAGGAGGGACACGGATCTAATAAACATGTGGTTGCATTCAGTCTCCCCAGGACCCTGTCCACATCTTCAGGAGCAACAGAGTCAAACTCCTCCCATACAACCGTCTCAATCAACTTTTAAAATAAGAAAAAGGGCTATTTAAATATATCTTTTAATTTATTTTAAATTTTGTATATTTGTACCAATTGTTCTGTTTTTTAACTGGCTGTAAGCCGCCCTGAGTCCACTAGGAGAAGGGCGGGATATAAATACAATAAACTTCAAACTTCAACTTCATGTGCACGTGCCGGGTGTGGTAGCATTTGAAACCATTCCCCCCTGGTCCATGGGGAAAAAAAAATTTCCACAGAAGATGCGGGGTTTTTCACGCTGTGGCCCCCAGGCATGTGCACCTGAAGCTGGTTCGGTGGAAAACAAGTTTTTCCGTGGAACCGGTCGCTGGTGCTCAAAAGGTTGTGGACAGCTGGCTTAATACACAGTATTATGATTACTGGGAGCGGTCCTGAATTTCTGCCTGTGAAAAAATTTACTTAGAAGTGAAAGGGTGATATCAAAAGGAGGATCATTTATCTGTCTTACATTTAGTAGGCTTCAATTTTCCTCCATCGCGCCGAGACTTTTGTCTTCGTGCCTCTTGGCCTCCTTAACTGTGGTTAAGAATATAACTGTGAGTTGCCGTTATATTACACCTGACTTCCCTATTCTTAAAAATAATCAAGATAAAGTGAGCGCCCGGGAGAAATGGTAGAAGACTCACTCAAAAGAGCTTATGCCATATGTTTGTCATATAAACCTCAACGGAAGCTTTTTCTTTATATAATCAGCTCCAGGGTCATTTACAATGTTTAAGACCATCACTTTGGCTCGGGCTCAACAGAATTGGCATTAGCTACAGGTAGTCCTCGACTTAACGGCCACAATGGAGCTCAAAATTTCCATTGCTAAGCGAGACAATTAAGTTAGTTCTGACCCATTTTATCAAGGAGAGAAGCAGCCTAGAACTAAGGAGAAAATTTCTGACAGAACATTTAACCAGTGGAACAACCTGCCTCCAGAAGCGGTGAATGCTCCAACACTGGAAGTTTTTAAGAAGAGACTGGACAGCCATTTGTCCGAAATGGTATAGGGTTTCCTGCCTGAGCAGGGGGTTGGACTAGACGACCTCCAAGGTCCCTTCCAACTTTATTATTATTATTATTATTATTATTATTATTATTATTATTATTATTATTATTATTATTACCTTTCTTGCTATAGTGAATCACTGCAGCGGTTAAGTTAGCCCCACGGTTGTTAAGTGAATCCGGCTTCCCCCGTTGACTTTTGCTTGTCAGAATGTCACAAAAGGGATCCCATGACCCCGGGACGCTGCAACCGTCATAAATATGAACCCGTTGCCAAGCATTTGAATTTTGATCTCACGACCACGGGGACGCTGCAACGGTCGTAAGTGTGAAAAGCGGTCATAAGTCACTCTTTTCAGTGCCGTTGTAACTTCAAATGCTCACTAATGGAACTGTTATAAGTTGAGGACTACCTGTAATATGTGTTCTCTAAACTGCTGCATTTTTTCTTTCTTGATTTTCAATACCCGTAAAGCCTCACTCTTGATGTACCCACTGACGTGCATCTTTGCGGGGAGGGAATAATAATAATAATAATAATAATAATAATAATGATGATGATGATGATGATGATGATGATGATGATGATGATGATGATGATATTAGTCAATTGCAAAAGGCAGCCTTACTAGGAACCGCTTCCATCCTGCGACGATATCTGTAATACCATCAAACATCCACATCTGCCTATCCCAGGTCCTGGGTAAGGACTCGATAGGTCAGTGGTGGCGAACCTCTGGCACGGGTGCCAGAGGTGGCACTCGGAGCCCTCTCTGTGGGCACACGTGCCGTTGCCCCAGCCTTGCCTCCCCCCACGACCCCCTCCTCACCAGCAGCTTTCCTGGAGGAGAGTCGCCCCTGAGCGTAGCCCACGCGGAACAGCGCAGCTAAGGACATGGCAGCCAGGCAGCGTAGACAAGACTCTGCCCTCACACCCCATCACGCACAATTGATGCTGCGGGGCGCGGGCAGAGGGTATGGCCGCCATGGCGCTGCTGGGTGATCTGCGACGGGGCCTGGAGGCGGTGAGTGGCCCTGTGGGCAGGCGGGGTGAGGGCAGAGTTGGGGCGGGGCAGGGGTGGGATCAGGTTTTGGGCACTTGGTCTCTAAAAGGTTCGCCACCACTGGGATAGGTAGACAAAATGCCAAATCCAGTCTGAACATCTGGCTGACTGCGATGATCCATAATAATAATAATAATAATAATAATAATAATAATAATAATAATAATAATAATAATAATAATAATAATAATAATAATAATAATAATAATAATAATAATAAGCAGGCAGGCAGTTATCGGGCTGCACCTTCAATGTCAAATAAATAGGAAAAATACACGAGGTGTCCAGATGAAAGAAAGCACCATCAGCTGTCTCTTGGGAAGCCATTCCCTCCGGTGACATTGCACAAAATAGAAATAACATATTGAAAACCAGTGACTGGAAA